GTTCTGACGTAGAAAATTCAGCAAAGACGTAGCTGTAAGTGCGTCTGAAGCCCTCAGTAGTTGGCGAGCTTAATACGAATCACCAGGAGATCATTAAAGGTACGATGGACAAAGCACTAGCGCTACTTTACCAGTCATAAATAACTTCCCAATGCCGTCCACCCAGGGCTAAGCATCCTTGAAGTTTTAATATAGGAAGGAGGCCCGCGGAAAGACGCATTATGTCCTGATTAAATCATTGATGTAAATAGGCCCACATTTATTTTAGTGGACGTAATTTGCAGTCGGAGAAAGTAGACAATTAGCGGAACTACTAGCAAATATATTAGGTGGAGATATCCATTGTTCTCGTGTTCACAATATCACAGCGGTTTGAACCTGGAATTAGAAATCAGCATGTTGATATCTTTAGTATGTAATAAACAATATAAAAGCCAAACGTATATTTCAAACCTGCTTGGTCCGTAATAGTTTCAATGACCTGTAATTGGATCCATATTTTACATGCTTGCGTAATCTGAAATCATGGTATTGATAATGTTGGTTCTTTGGAGATATACTCTTGACGTAAAATAAAGGAACATGGAGGGCAGCATAGGTTTAAGTGTATTCCGACGCTGACCAGAGTGTTTTTGCTACTGGGACAATACAGATTCCGAGAATATTTCGCTGAAAATTATGTTGCTCATATCAAGCAGTTGAACTTCTCTCAATGTTTGGCTATTTGTGGATACTAGCATGTTAGCCTGTTTTCTACTGGCAATTTGCACTCGTTTCCAAGGAAACCACACACAGACTGATCTCCTGCATAGAACATAATTCCGAAAGGATCAGTTAAATTGGCATTCTTTAATGATGGTAATTCGAAGTAAATCACATTTAACAAGGTGGTTTTTTTTCAAAAACTACCCTCGTACTTGTCTGCACCGTGAACGCCACCGCCTCCGTGGGCGTGTGGTAGAGCGTTCGCCCGGAGAGCGGAAGGTCCGGGGTTCAGTCCCCGGCTGCGTCATACCAGAACGTTAAAAATGGTACCTGTTGTTACCCTGCCTGGCGCTGAAAATTTAGCGGCTAAAACAAGGACTGTCGTATGGGAATTGGTATATTGTGCCTGAGTGGGGTATTCATGTTAAACTGCAGAATGTTATCTCAGTGGGCAAGCACTATAAAATCGGCACTAGTCCGGACTAGCACAAGTAGCCACACTCACGTGCATGCACGTCGCTATATAAGTGCAATAATCTTGAATGCGACGTTAAACCCCATTTCACCTCACCCCCAACGCGTTACTCACGTACTATCTACGTATTATACACTTGCCGGTCACATTTTTCCACGTACCACCTACCCAGTATTCACGTTATATTCACTTGCTACCCACGTATTATGGAGTTACTATTCACAGATTGTACAGGTATAGTCCAAGTATAGTCAACGAATATTATATACACCTATTGCCCACGTACTATCCACGCTAAATACAAAACTATCATGGAACTATCCTCGAGGACAGCTTTTCTCTATCTGAGATGTATACACAAACTAGCAACTCTCCATCGATGATATATGCACGACGCTAGCAATGCTCTATCTACATTGAAATGCATACAAGCACCGCTCTATCTACGATGTATACATGTACTAGCCAATCTCTATCTACGATGTATACATGTACTAGCCACTCCCTATCTACGATGTATACATGTACTAGCCACTCTCTAGCTACAATGTATACATGTACTAGCCACTCTCTATCTACGATGTATACATGTACTAGCCAATCTCTATCTACGATGTATACATGTACTAGCCACTCTCTATCTACGATGTATACATGTACTAGCCACTCTCTATCTACGATGTATACATGTACTAGCCACTCTCTATCTAGGATGTATACATGTACTAGCAACTCCCTATCTACGAAGTATACACCTACTAGCCACGAGCTACCGACGATGTATATAATAAATATGAACTAGCCACTCTCTATCTACGACGTATACATGAACTAGCCGTGTTCTATCTACGATGTATACGCGTACTAACCACTCTCTATCTACGATTTATACACGAACTAGCCATGCTCTATCTACAGTGAATAAACGTATGCCAATCTCAATTTATGATGTATAAACGTAAGCCAATCTCTATCTACGATGTATACACGTACTAGCCATGCTCTGTCTACGATGTATACACGTAGAGCCTGAATACTGACAGTGTTCTCTCCAAGTACAGACCACGTTCTCTCCATGTACAGTCCACGTTCTCTCCACGTACAGTCCACCTTCTGTCCACGTACAGTCCATGTTCTCTCCACGTACAGTCCACGGTCTGTCCACGTACAGACCACGTTCTCTCCATGTACAGTCCACGTTCTCTCCAAGTACAGTCCACGTTCTCTCCAAATACAGTCCACGTTCTGTCCACGTACTGAACACTCTCTACTTCCTACGTTCATGCAATATGGACACGTTGCCCACATTTGATCCCTATACAACCAACGCACTATCCACATTTTGACACACACTGCCTTACCCAAGCATTATAACTCACATCTTCACGTACACCCAAGTACCTATACGCACAAACTAACTCAGTCGAAGTAGTCTCCAAAGAAGCATCCCTTATGCCAGCCAGCGTACGGGATGATCAGTTGGATAGCACGGAGAACTACGTTCAATTTCAAGAGAGAAAGACGCGTTTTACAAGACTAATGTGTTGCTCCAGGGAAGTCATTCCGTTTAATGGCTTCCCCCATCTCGAGGATAAAGATCTACCAGTTAGGTGAGAGTCAAGTGTACCAATGTGTTACTCCACTTTGTTGTCATACTCAAGGATGAAGAGAAACTGTTTCGGAGGCAAGTGGAGGCAAATTGAGTTGGCAGGAACAAGGTTCAGGTGTCTGGAAACCGAGATAGGAATTGAAGGGTTTATGTGAGCTGTCCCGGATTGTCAATATAGGATACGACAAACGCGTTGATTTCTGACACATGCTTTACAAGATGTCAATGACTTCACATAAAGCGTTGACTTGACAAGGGCTGATTTGAAGAATGGGACTGTACGTCGTCAGATTCATTTCCTTAGTATTTCCGTGTTAGAATTCCTGATATTGTCAGCACATAGTGATAGTGTTAGCAATTCGTGATAGTGTTAGCAATCCGCGATAGTGTTAGCAATCAGTGATTGTGTTAGCAATCCGTGATAGTGTCAGCAATCCGCGATAGTGTTAGCAATCCGTGATATTGTCAGCAATCCGTGATATTGTTAGCAATCCGTGATAGTGTCAACAATCCGTGATAGTGCTAGCAATCCGTGATAGTATTAGCAATCCGCGATAGTGTAAGCAATTCGTGATAGTGCTAGCAATCCGTGATATTGTCAGCAATCCGTGATAGTGTTAACAATCCGTGATAGTGTTAGCAATCCGTGATAGTGTCAGCAATCAGTTATAGTGTTAGCAATCCGTGATAGTGTCAGTAATCCGTTATAGTGTTAGCAATCCGTTATAGTGTTAGCAATCCGTTATAGTATCAGCAATCCGTTATAGTGTTAGCAATCCGTGATAGTGTCAGTAATCCGTGATAGTGTCAGTAATCCGTGATAGTGTTAGCAATCTGTGATAGTGTCAGTAATCCGTGATAGTGTCAGCAATCCGTGATAATGTTAGCAATCCGTGATAGTGTCAGCAATCCGTGATAGTGTCAGCAATCCGTGATAGTGTTAGCAATCCGTGATATTGTTAGCAATTCGTGATAGTGTCAACAATCCATGATAGTGCTAGCAATCCGTGATACTGTCAACAATCCGTGATAGTGCTAGCAGTCCGCGATAGTGTCAACAATCTGTGATAGTGTTAGCAGTCAGTGATAGTGTTAGCAATCCGCGGTAGTGTTAGCAATCCGCGATAGTGTCAGCAATCCGCGATTGTGTTAGCAATCCGTGATAGTGTTAGCAATCCGTGATAGTGTTAGCAATCTGTGACAGCTTTAGCAATCCGTGATAGTGTTAGCAATCCGTGATAGTGTTAGCAATCTGTGACAGCTTTAGCAATCCGTGATAGTAACGAGAGTATATATTGCTGAATGGCCCAATGGGGTAACACCAAAGAATGCATATATTGTTAATGTCCCAATTAAGAAACACCAAGGAATGCATACATATATATTGATAATGTCCAAATGAAGAAACACCAAAGAATGCATATATTGTTAATGTCCCAATTAAGAAACACCAAAGAATGCATAAATATATATTGATAATGTCCAAATGAAGAAACACCAAAGAATTCATATATTGTTAATGTCCCAATTAAGAAACACCAGGGAATGCATACATGTATATTGATAATGTCCCAATGAAGGAACACCAAAGAATGCATATATTGTTAATGTCCAAATAAAGGCACCACAACCAATGCACATATTGTTAATGTCCCAATGACGGAACACCAACGAAAGCATCAAGCTCATTAGTCGCATCATGTTTACTGACGAGATGCTCGCTGGTATATAGCCCTGCATGTATTTCCTCCTTTACCTGGGTAGCACCAAGGACAGCGCGTTTGCTCTAAAATCAGAAATCCACGGATCGAATCCAACATGGAACCCACGTAGACGTTAATAATTGGTTTCCCCCAACCAATCTTCCAAATTAAAAACCCTCGTCCCAACCCATCGCAAGCTGACTTACCATGATTGGTTCCAAAAGAGCTGAGACCGTTTTCCGGAACTAGACTTTCACAAACAATACTTCTATCACAACTGAAAATAATTGCTACCATACTGAAGAAAAGAAAGTATTTACACTCTCAAGCGTTAAGTACCTTTCTTAGATAAAATAACACTCATGACTCGTACCACTGCTCGTTTCACCTATACTATGACGTGAGATAAGCCGGTGCAGCACTATACCTAAAGACATGTGTGTTGGCCTGCTCCGTCCGTCCCATGTTGAAGGATCAATAACTAGTTGCAACACAGTCCTCTGACTGGCAGTACTGCTAGTCGCTCCGGTCCAGGCTCCGTTCATCACACGAGCCCTACGTTGCCACCGACGAACGCGAGGGATCTTGGAATCGAGTTTAATCTCTGTTGTTGAGGAGTGAACGCTGCTTGGAAGTTAGTCTTATGAAATATGTTCCTTCCTGACAGAGGAGATCTCGTTACTCTTCACCCTTCGACAGAAAGTAGGAGCTACCTTGAAGTTTCCCAAGGTGTTTCCGTAGATGTTCGCTTTGATGGTTTTAGGAAGCAGAAAAAGCGCCAAGCCTTATCAAATTTTATAACAGATTGTAAAAACACCGAGCAACGTTAGATCCAGAATTTGTCAAAACGAGGATTTAGTGAACAGGAACTGATGTGAAAATTCCCCGCTGATTCTTCTTCAGGAATTGCGGAACTGAAGCGAGCGTAAAGGTGCAGGCGCTCTCAACCTGCAAAGCAGCGAAACAAAATGTTTTGTTTTACGATTAGGTGATCAAATTACCCTCTTGGGCACACCCGCTGAGAGGAATTCTGTAGCGTCTATTTATTTGTGAAATGTATCGCACCTGTACGTGCGGATGACACGTGGAGCTTCGCAATTGTCCACCCACCCGAATATACACCAACCTACGGTCACGAAAAGTGTATATCTTAGCCGATCATCACAACATCACGTTTGTCGCTTCTTTTCAGATCGATTGTGAAGTCTGAGGTTTCCTCTTCGGTTCGAGCAGTTTCAGGGATATCGTTCATGCACAACTGTCTGATTAAGCGGCTATAGTGTTTGCAAGGATAACGGTCTTCTGTGTCCCGTGGATTAGTGCTGGATTAGTACTATGCTCGGCTACTGAGCTATCGTGGGAATGATCCACTGGAATCAGTCTTTATCGTGTGTTTGTGTGACTATACGAAGCGATAATGCCACGGTATGGAAAGAGGAAGGACAGCGCAATCAGGGTAGGTAACACGATGTTCATGATTATGTTCATGATTATGTTCATGATAATATGCTTCCAGGATACGTGAAGAGGATAACAGGGTAATTCCAGCCCTGATATACATTTCATCCGATCCTAAATATATGTGTGAATGCATCTATGTCAATACAAGATTATGTTGCAGCTTTCTTGTCATCGTGTATTATAGGACGGAGCTTCCTTCATTAACGGTCTACTTATTATTCATGCAGAATATATAGGAGTTTTTAAGTTTAATCAAATACTATATTTTCACACATGCAGGGAAATGGGGCAGCCTACGAATGGAAGTAGCTGTGTATTGATCCCCATAGCTCTAGCAGTGTCATGAAAATTCAAAATGAATGACTCTACGTGTTACCGGTCCTGTGGTATTTACAGACAATTGTTGAGCGTTAACAACTGTTACAGCTGATGAGGAGCTAGGAATTGGTGTGTGCTTGTGTCTGGGTGTTCAAGCACATATGGTCCGCCTTTAACAGGAGTTAAAGCTGAGATGTCAGATTATTTCTATAATTAAAAGATCAGAGCATGTTAATGCTGATATTCAGCACACGTGACCACGAACGTATTATTTATTAGTTGCGGGATACCATTATTTTCAATTAAAAAAATTAATGAGGATTCCTCACACAAGATCCTCATAATGAAGGCTAAGCACTTCAGCCAAAACATATTTTAATTATCTTGATTACGAAAGTACAGAGAATGAAAACAGGTTTGTTACAATGCAACCGGAAACCAATAGCTTGCTTCTACATAACACGTCTTAGTGAGTAAGCTCTATGTTGATAATAAAAAATCGATACCTAGGTTTTTCTCTCTGTAACGATGAACAATGTATCATTTCAGCCATCGATGTTGTTACGAAAGCTCAAACTCTGTCACTGAAATATTAATACAAACAAAATGTCATCGTGGATTTATTTCTTGTCTGGTAACCTGAGACCGACTATTAATAGTGCACACTCAACTCTACACTGTCTCCATATGACTGTTGACACGGATTGGATACTAACTGGTGATACAAACACTGAATATCCTATCTGTATAATTACTAAATATTTTATACGAAACGAAGCCATTCCCATTTGGTTTTTCAGGTCAAATTTTGTATTGCACACACATATATTGCAAATATGTTAATGTATTATGCATGTACGTCTATTGATCTTAAATTCACTTTTTTTCCCCTAAGATGTTTGCCCCTAAAAGATCCGGGTTAGAATTGGTCTCAACTAGCTTATATTTATAGGAAGATTTGGCTAAAGGGATCGGGTGGTCAGACTCGCTGACTTAGTTAATGCATGTCATCCTATCCAAATTTCGTAGACTGAAGCTCATGATGTCAATCACTGGACTGTCTGGTCCAGATTCGATTATGTACCAACCGTCGCCATATAGCTGTAATATTGTTGAATGCGGTGTGAACAACAAACAAACAAACACTCAGATATTTGATTGCTTGTGAGGACAGCAGATGGTAGGAATTTTACTTTAAGTTTCAATTACGTTTTAGGAACCAGATTCTCTATTTAATAGGCATTATATTTTACGTTGAATATACATCACATAATTCCTGAATATTGCTGTAATGCTTGACAGCGCAATTGTCAAAGTAAATGGAAGTATGTATCGAATTCTTTAAGCCAGTGAACAGGATAATTAGATGCATCTGCTTCCCATAAAAAAGTGGTTAATATCTGCTCCAGCAGTATGATCACAGGCGGGGAAATTATTAAGAAATTTCCCATTTCCCTGTCGCTGCTTCCACCATGTAACAGTGCAGTGTCTCAGTACGTGGGTTGAGGGGTGACGGCTAGTCGGCTCCCTAGCGGCCCTATACATGGTAGCAATATTTATTACAGTCATATTGACATGATGAATGTGAAGAAGGTGAATGAGTGAGCTGGTTCCCCGTTATTACTAACTATCACGTTCCTATAGCGGATAACCCTGTTTTTCCATGATTGATCTATCGAGAACTATATCATAGAACAACGTCTTCATAACAAGCCGAGAGAAATCGGCAGCTTGTTAAAGACATCAATCATAGAGACTTTTATGATATCTGTGACGCATACAAGATTGCATTTACGAATCTTGCGTAACATTGTTTAAATTGGGTCAGTGGAGAGTGTTAACTTCCTAGGTCAAGCTGACCCAAGACGATGACGTAGAATGCCGTCGCTGATGTCCCTTCCTTCGCTTTGCTTCATTTGTCGCTCTCACTAGAGAAGAAAATGCGTCGTCTAGATCTGGAAGGCCAATACGTCCATGATTGCCGGATTACGTCAGAGGCCCCCGCTTGTCAGTTCACCGTTTTGATGTCTGTTATGATGGTGTTCCTGACGTAGTTGTCTGTGCAGAAACCAATTCAGATAGAGAACAATCAAAGACATCGATATACATCTATTTATCACGGGGAGTATAAACATCGCCATGTTTACTTTGTGAACCGCGCAATCAGTAAAGGTACTTATGTAAGAGAGTTGTATTTAGAACGATACTTTTGTCAACAGTCCAACATTGCAATGTAGAAATAGACACAATATAATCTATTGTTGCCCAGTTTAGCCAGTTTGGTGTGCCGTACTGACGATGTTTTCATGATATAAATAAACAAACATATTCATGTCTCTCAGCTCCAGTACTTGACGATGCCATCGAGTATGTGTGTGATGAAATATTTATGTAGGAAAATGCGCATGTCACATCACTGACAACCAGTCTCGTGTACACTTGTGTGATAATGAATAGTTTGCCTTTTTTGTTTAACTTTTTGTTGTCATTTTTTAAATCTCATGCGTACGTTTACATTATTGAACGAAATCGATGCTTTGTACCAGATCAACACTTGGTTGGATCTCTTATCAGAGACCTTGTGTTTTGACACCAAAATAATGGCACCATGGGTTGAGGTTGAATGAAGAAATGGTAACCCGCCCTTGGCTTACTTCCTCTTGACACGACAGATATGAAAAAGCTGATTTTTTATAAAAAAATATGACTATAGATAGACCGGCGTGACGTCGGTGAGTATTCTTGTCCCGTTTACGTCAATGACATCGATATGATTCAAGACAGGACCAACGTGCAGCGCGGACCTCCTGGCTATGTGTTATAAAGCCCTGCATAGCCAATGTCCCTCGTATAGAAGCAAGTGGTCTTCTGGTGTCAAATCACTTAATGATAGACACTTAATGATGCTAATAGTGTGTTTCTGTGGCAAGGGATGACGATAGATGTTTGTAAGTAAACCTACCGGTCGGTGTACGAATGATTCATGCATGATGGTCGCCACAAGCAACTGCCTGGCATTCGATGATGTCAATGCTGTTCCCAATGGCATGAACTCACCATGGACTGCAAACATCTTAATGTGGTTAAAGAGGCAGAGAGCGGATCTGATATATCAAGCAGGTTGTCTGGCAGAATGTGACTCAGTTGAAACAACAGTGCAGTAATTTGCAGTGTTTGCAGTAATTGAAGGATGTGTGGAATCGAACACAGAACTAACAGAACATTAGAGTTTTTACACTTTTATAACAGAATAGCATCACTCATTCTGACGACATTGATCTCACTTCAATAAAAGTCTAAAATACCACGTTTACGTGATGAAGGAATCCTGCATATTCTTCTTCATAAGCATAAGTTAGGTAAGGTGAAATGGGGTTTAACGTCGCGTCCAAGATCATTGCACTTATATCGCCACGTAAATGCACGTGAGTGTGTGTGTGTGTGGCTGCTTGTACTAGTTCGGACTGATGCCGATTTATAGTGCTCGCCCATTGAGATACCATGCCGCAGTTTAACATAAATAACACACTCAGACACAATATACTGGCTCCGAGCCAACCTGTCCTTGTTTAAGCCCCTTAATACCGAGCGCCAGACAGGGTAACAACAAGTACCATCTTTTAACGTCTGTTGGTATGACGCGGCCGGGGATCGGACCCCAGACCTTCTGATGTCCGGGCGGACGCTCTACCACGAGACCACGGAGGCGGTCAATGAGCAATAGTAATGTTTCACATCATGTGTTGTTAGGAAACAAACGAAGCAATGGAGAGGCTACTCAATTACCTGTTGCCAAGGAACAATGTCAAAACATGATATCAGGTAATACATTACAGTTTCTGTATTTCAGTATAAGCATTTTACTTGTGGATAGAAAACATGCGTATGATAAGCGGTGCTCAACCTTTCCAGGTACATATATAATCCCTTTAATATTTTACTGCTAGTTTTGTCAAGGTTCAGAGCTGACAAGTTCATATTTTAACAATGGGTTATTACTCGACAAAGAAGTCCATATGTTGATGATGAGGTCTGAAAGAAAAATGTGTTTTTAGGTTGAGACGTTGTATGACCATACTTTTTGGAATGTTGACATTGTGAAAGGAAACTAATGGTTGATAATGTGGGTACAGGGGTGGTAAATGACAATTTGAATCGTATTTGTGGCTAAATGGATGAAAGGTGAGTGAGTTTGGTTTTACGCCGCTTTTAGCAATATTCCAGCAATATCACGGCACCACAAATTACACCACAAATGGGCGTCGCACATTGTACCCATGTCGGGAATCGAACCCGGGTCTTCGGCGTGACGAGCGAACGCTTTAACCACAAGGCTACCCGACCGCCCCAAATGGATGAAGAACAACCTGAGTCTTGATACTTTTGTGTGTTGACGCGTACGGAGTTAAAGCAACTTCGACAATAGGCTTATGTGTAGCAGATGGTGAATGGTCTATGTTCATTTTTTTTAACATCAATACGTTGAATGCTTTAGAAAGTACATTGATGTCCGGCAACACTATGATGCAGCAATCACCAAAGCTCCACCTAAAAAAACTTCATCATAACAGAAGCTTTGTTTATGACATACAAGGAATTTATATTCATATCTTTCTGCTTTAATGCTGCAATTTTACAACACCGGACTATGAAACCTGCATATTATAGAGATTCTGG